TATGTATATAGCCATAGCTATTCATGAATGTTAGAATATCCCTCTGTTCCTGTTGAGATTGTCCTGCATATGATGTGTCCCATGCAGAGACCTCAGTAATGTATGCAAATAGTAATTAACTCTTTTTTTCTTTTAAATTCTTATCATGTGAAAAGCCATTGCATTTATTCAATTTTTTTATATTCTGGGGTCTATATGTAACATTTTAAGCATGTTGCCAAGTACATTTTTTTCTACCATTCAAAACTTTTTTTTTTTAAGAAATAAAATAAAATAAAATTCTGGAACAATAGGACGACAGAATGATTGATAGATTCGCTGCCGTGGCTCAAATGAGCCACAATTTATTGGAGTATTTTGAAGGATTATGTCGTCTCGCCGTCAACACACTGTTTGACGACAAGACCCTGAAATCGTTGCTCTGGATCGGGGCGAATTACCATCATCCCATAGACCTCCCAGACACCACAGGACTTGAATGGAAGAACTTGAATGAAACTCCACCTTGGCCCTCCGGAACCCACGGTGTCACCCTGGCTCTTCGGCTCTCCATCTCCACCCTGGGCCCCTCCTCCATCGGCCTCATCTCCGTCAGTCTGCCCACTAGTGTCGTCAGCCTTACCTCCACCATGACTCATCTCTCCATCGACTCTGCCGTGGGCCTCAGTCTTGGGCTTTGGAGTACCACCTGGCTCTTCCAGCTACTGGCTTCTCCCTGGCTCCTCCCACCATCTACACCACCTTGGTTGCTCCGGTCATCACCTCTCCTGGGTTCCTGTCATCCACCTTCCTCACATCCTCCACCTCAGTCTCCTCCCTCGTTGGGACTGTTGGTGCGAGGTCGCGCCTTTCTGGGAGGGAGTGTACTGTCACAGTTAGGTTGAGTTTGAGTTTGATTTCTTTCTTTGCTTTCTCCCTGCCTGTCACTTTCATTATTTGCTACCTTGGTTACTGATTTGATTAGTCATTCCGTTTAGCTGTGTCCTTATTAGTTCGCTTTGTTCCATGTATTTAAGTGCTTGTTGTTCATTTGAGTTTTGTCTAGTCTCGTTAATGCTACCCTGTGTTTGTATTACCTATGTGTTGGATTAAAGGCTTTTTGGAACCTTTCTCTTCTTCTTTGTGCATTTGTACACAGCGTACCAGATAGATAGAATAGATATAGAATGACAGAATGGTAGGTAGAAAGAACAATCAATGGAACGATAGATAGATTTGGAGTGATCTGTTCCTTTAAGATCTGTAAGGATTGACTTTCCTGCCTTTTAAACAGACTCTGTATTCTATTTTTTCCCGGTCTTTTTTCTTCTGTCCTTTCATTCCTCTTTGGGTCGAGTAAAGATTCCTCAAACATCCTCTCAGAATATCTTTTTGTTTCTGACTTTTCTCTTTCTCCCACTCTTGCAGTCTTCCAGGCTCAGCATCGCTCAGTGCCCAGCAGACCTGGGAGAGAATAAAAGATTGGGTCTCTGCTTTCTCTTTTTCTGTATCCTGGAGGAGAAATCTGACAGAGCAAGGGAATGCCTGGAAAGAGAGAGAGGGAGAGAGGGAGTGTGGGGGTGGGGGTGGGGGTTAACAGGCTAAATGGACTAGCGAAGCACATTAGAGCTAATGGATGAAGCCTGTGGGGTCAGATCATTCAGTACAGCTCCTGGACCCCCCCTACATGTGTGCTAATGCAGCACACTGGTTCAGAGACCTGGGCTGAATCCCAGTCCACTTGCTTATACTAAGCACTACAAGTATGCCCTTGTGAAAAAGAAGTACACTTTAGCATACTTTTCAAAAGAGTACTTATTACAGGAACAATTTACTTTAAAAAATATAAATACTTATGTGCAGACTGCAAATGATGGTTTCAGCAGTTTTAGCTTAGCATTTATTTAATGTAGAACAGTTTCTGTTTTTCTTTGCTTAGATTTCTGTCAGCTTTGAATTTATCCACCTTTGAGTTTGATCTAATGTCTTCTCAGAGCAATACTTGACATGTTTCATACCAATTAAAAGACTGTTTTTGACTCAATCCAGGTAACCTTGTTTCTCCTCTATGCCCCGCCTTTCTGAAACGCGTCGATTTTTACAAAGCTCATCGGTCTGAAAAGCGAATACCTCAAGCGTGTGACAGAAATGTTACGCCCCTTACCATATTGTGATGCCCTGTCAGGCCGGAGCGTAACATAAAACCATGTCTGCATTTGTGATCGGAGAAATGGCAAACAACAAGCACTAAGTAAAAATCTGTCTTTACAACTTTTACTTGTAATGGAGTAATATTTGACCAGCAGTATCTGTACTTTCACTCAAGTAATGGAGCTGAGTACTTTGTCCGCCTCTGTATATGACCCCTTTAAAATGAGAAGCTAAATTGTGACTTAAGTACTTTTAAAAGCAAGTACTTCTGTACTTTTACTTAAGTAAAAATCTGTCTTTACAACTTTTACTTGTAATGGAGTAATATTTGACCAGCAGTATCTGTACTTTCACTCAAGTAATGGAGTTGAGTACTTTGTCCGCCTCTGTATATGACCCCTTTAAAATGAGAAGCTAAATTGTCTTCCAGAGGTGAGCCACCTTTGCAAGCAACATGTTAATATTTCATAGAAAAACCTGGTGGATAGATGCCTTCATAGGAAATAGCAAAGGAAAAGCAGAAAGAATATAAAGTAGGAGATACTGTGGCAGACACATTCTGTTTGGAGTCATTTTAGCGCTTGAAAAACATCAGTTTAACATTTCATGATCTATCTATCTATCTATCTATCTATCTATCTATGTGTCTGTCTGTTTGTCTGTCTGAGTCTTATTTCACATGTTTGGCCCTCTGCAGATTGCTGAGATTTTTCACTTCAGTGATCAGTGCATTCTATTCTGGGGGGCTGCAAAGAATTCTGGGGCATCTGGATTGTGGGTTTTCGGGTATTTTTGTGCACATTTGTATATGTGTTTGTGTGTACAAAACCAATGTCCATGGGGTAAAACTTTTTCCTAATCCTTCAGAAAACTGGAATCAACTGCAGATTCATTTCACAGCTGAGAGCATGGTCTGGATTACCGCCCAACTGACGGGATGACAATGATGGCAGTACAATCAATGTTCATCTACCTCGTGCACAGAGCTGATATGACACTTATTCTGAACATATATTCACAACAGATTAGTCATTTACTTGTTTAAATGTTGCACTTTTTATGGTTTCAATCAATATATTGTGTGAAAATCTCAATAAATATAAACTGACTTGACTTCATTTTCCTCTAGGGGAGTGTTCACATTGCAGTTTGGGCATGACCAGATGATGCACTGCTTTTTTGTGCAGCATATTATTTAGAAATATTATATAATCATTGGTGACACAACAGAGAGATTATAGATACGTCAAACAGGCTTGAATAGCCCTTCATTATAGTCTAGAGGTTAAATGCTTCCTACACAAATAACCATTGTAAGGGTCACTTGGGCTGCTTTAGCTCTCCTATAATGTTTATGCTGAGTGAGTGTTATTTTGGATGCAGAGCATGTGTGAATGTCAGGACCTCTTTACAATCTCTTTACAAATATAGTTTGTATATATATAGTTATTTTGATTTTGAGAATGATTTGTTTGTTTGTTTTAAGGTAGGCCTCATTTGTTTATTTTTAGATGGAATTTTAGATTTCTGTTACTTGAAAAGAAATCATGCACACAGATGTCATATTTAAAATGTAAAATCTTTTATTTATATTCCAAAATAGAAAGGGAAAATATAGAAAAATATTTCCATTCAATGGCTCAGGAAACACAGTAACTTTATACAATGTAGACAGAATACAAACTCAGAAAGTGATGAAAATGAGAAATGATTTAGCTTAAAATCTCTTGTAGACCATGTAGAGATAGGGTTCACATTTCAAAAATAGCTCATATCTTGTAAAGCTTATTCCTATGACAGTAGATTCACACTTGACCTGCTCCACTAGAGTACACATGTAGTAAACCTGAGAATGAGTATTTACTATTAAGGTTAAGTAATATCAGCTATCTGTTCCAGGATCAGTATCATTCATGCATGTAGTGTGAGAGCAGGCTGGACCTGCATAATCTGTGATGGTGTCATTTACTGTTGTCTCTGCTTCTTTCCTGTAAGTAAAGAGAGAAAATAATGTAATTTTATGTTATGTTATGTTATGTTATGTTATATGTTATGTTATGTTGTTATGCTATGCTATGCTATGCTATGCTATGTTATGCTATGTTATGTTAGGTTGTTGTTGTTTTTATGATGTTATGTTATGTTATGTTATGTTATGTTATATGTTATGTTATGTTATGTTGTTATGCTATGCTATGCTATGCTATGTTATGCTATGTTATGCTATGTTATGTTAGGTTGTTGTTGTTTTTATCCTATGTCAAGATGTTATTTTTATGTTATGTTTTATGTTTGTGGGGGCTTTTTATTATGTTCTAAATGTTGTTAAATTGTTCTAACTGTTATGTTCAGAATGTCATTCTGTGTTCTAAATGTTAAAATTTTTGTTTTATACTATGGTATTGTGCTGTTGTTACATTACATTGTCTTATAAATGTTATATTCTAAATGTTATGTTGTTTTAATTGTTAAATTATGTTGCTGTGTTGTGTTGTAAATGTTATATTAGGTTTTATGTAATGTTATGTTATACTAAATGTTGTTGATACATTGTTATGAGTTCTAAATGTTATGTTGTGTTCTAAACACTATATTATTTTTATTGGTATATTATGTTACATTGTAAATGTTATGTTACATTGGTGTTGTTCTAAATGTTGTGTTATGTTTTATATTATTTTTCTAAATGTTACTGTGACATTATTATGTGTTCTAAATTCTGTTGTCTTAAATGTTATATTATTTTTGTTGTGTTATATTATCTTGTAAATGTTGTTACATTATCTCTTCTAAATGTTATGTTCTAAATGTTATCTTGTGTTTATATGGTGTTGCTAGGTGGTGTGTCCTAAATGCTATATAATGTTATCTTATGTTGTGCAAACAGAACTTAAAAGAATGCATGTACATTTATATTATTTAAGTACTAAGACTTGATGATGAAATACCCACAAACACATACCTCTATGTTTTCTGGGGTTTTTTACAGGTCCTGCTAGTATGTAGTCGATCAGTTTGCTCACCCAGTTATTCTCGCTTGGAAATGGTGCGCAGAGCTTCAAGCCCTTCTTTGTGACAAATCTGAGGAAATTCATTCATATTTAAATATGCAAAATCAAATACACCTTGAAGTCTGTAGAGGCATTTTGAAATGCATGTACTGCGACTTACATAGTGGCAGGAATTCTGCAGACTCCATCACTGGTCTGAATGTTGAAGGACGTCACCACCTTCTGTGGGATGCGCCGGTCGCTGGTGGTTAAACAACAATCCGCTGCCACATCGTTCTGAGCTGTGATAGTTAAACAGTGCACAGAATGTTAACCATTAGCAACATCAACAGTCTCACCCACTAAAAAATCATTTTAAAAATAGGCAGATTATCTACAGAAAGTTTAGAATTGTAAAAGGTGTTATTTAAGAATATTGTAAACAAATGGGAAAAACATTACACACACACAAAAAAAATCTAAACTGATTAACTTAAACATCTTGCAGAAGGCTATTTTATGTTATGTTATGTTATGTTATGTTATATGTTATGTTATGTTGTTATGCTATGCTATGCTATGCTATGCTATGTTATGCTATGTTATGCTATGTTATGTTAGGTTGTTGTTGTTTTTATCCTATGTCAAGATGTTATTTTTATGTTATGTTTTATGTTTGTGGGGGCTTTTTATTATGTTCTAAATGTTGTTAAATTGTTCTAACTGTTATGTTCAGAATGTCATTCTGTGTTCTAAATGTTAAAATTTTTGTTTTATACTATGGTATTGTGCTGTTGTTACATTACATTGTCTTATAAATGTTATATTCTAAATGTTATGTTGTTTTAAGTGTTAAATTATGTTGCTGTGTTGTAAATGTTATATTAGGTTTTATGTAATGTTATGTTATACTAAATGTTGTTGATACATTGTTATGAGTTCTAAATGTTATGTTGTGTTCTAAACACTATATTATTTTTATTGGTATATTATGTTACATTGTAAATGTTATGTTACATTGGTGTTGTTCTAAATGTTGTGTTATGTTTTATATTATTTTTCTAAATGTTACTGTGACATTATTATGTGTTCTAAATTCTGTTGTCTTAAATGTTATATTATTTTTGTTGTGTTATATTATCTTGTAAATGTTGTTACATTATCTCTTCTAAATGTTATGTTCTAAATGTTATCTTGTGTTTATATGGTGTTGCTAGGTGGTGTGTCCTAAATGCTATATAATGTTATCTTATGTTGTGCAAACAGAACTTAAAAGAATGCATGTACATTTATATTATTTAAGTACTAAGACTTGATGATGAAATACCCACAAACACATACCTCTATGTTTTCTGGGGTTTTTTACAGGTCCTGCTAGTATGTAGTCGATCAGTTTGCTCACCCAGTTATTCTCGCTTGGAAATGGTGCGCAGAGCTTCAAGCCCTTCTTTGTGACAAATCTGAGGAAATTCATTCATATTTAAATATGCAAAATCAAATACACCTTGAAGTCTGTAGAGGCATTTTGAAATGCATGTACTGCGACTTACATAGTGGCAGGAATTCTGCAGACTCCATCACTGGTCTGAATGTTGAAGGACGTCACCACCTTCTGTGGGATGCGCCGGTCGCTGGTGGTTAAACAACAATCCGCTGCCACATCGTTCTGAGCTGTGATAGTTAAACAGTGCACAGAATGTTAACCATTAGCAACATCAACAGTCTCACCCACTAAAAAATCATTTTAAAAATAGGCAGATTATCTACAGAAAGTTTAGAATTGTAAAAGGTGTTATTTAAGAATATTGTAAACAAATGGGAAAAACATTACACACACACAAAAAAAATCTAAACTGATTAACTTAAACATCTTGCAGAAGGCTATTGTTAAATAATTATACATTTTGACTCACCTGTTGTACAGCTCCATAGACTGACGCTCAATATAAGCAGAGCACCTGCCCATAATGTCAGAGAGTTCATTTTGTCCCTCTGTATGTGTTTGTTCACCTGTGCTCAGTAGATATATGCCTCACCGCTGCATGCACACCCTTTATATGCTACTTCACAAACTTTCACTTTCTTTATGCTTAAAGGCAACCCTTTCCTGTAAATCCATCCTTATTAAAAGAGCCCTTTCACCTTCTTTTGTTAACTGGAAATGGTGGCACCTCCCAAGAGATCCTTCATCTGAACTGGAGGGAAAGTTTCAACATGTTTTCTGGGCTTTTGAAATGTGCTTATCAGTGTCACTGCCTCATGAGAAACAAATGCGGTGAAAGTAAATTCATATTAGTGGATGTCACTCATAGCTGTAGGGAACAGGTTGCACATACATAGCTTTGGGACAAATTAGATGTTGTTTAAATTCCACATGTGAATTAGCCCATTGTTAGATTTCATGTGCCTTTTAATCAGAAGTTTTTGAGTTTATTCAAGTACTTAAATATAAAATAAAATAAAGTACAAAGTGCATGCAGCTCTGCATTGAATTCATAATTGCTCAAGTGTCCACACTGATTTGTGAGTGCAAATACTTTAAAAGATCTGTATTTCTATGAATAAATTGAAGTATTGAGAATACCATTTGAATGTGTGTTTTCTTGCTTCCCGGCCGTATATCTACACTTTAAGGGACTGAGAAGTTTTCAAGGTGGCAAAGAGAATCTATAGGGACCGATTGTTATTTATTAACACTTATAAAATAAAATAAAACATTTTCAGCACTGAGGTTTCCAACTGCTCTTATCTGCATATACATATCTGGCCAATCAATGTCTGCAGTATCTGGTTCAGTATCTGAACACGCTTTACCTATGGATATCTGATGTGGTATTGTACCAATTATAGTCATAATGGTTGTGATAATGATCATTTCATGACTCTTTCATCTAATATATTAACTCTTATGAACATATTTTAACATATTTAAATATCAAAGCTGACAAATTCTCACCAAACCACAGGTTGTTTGATTGACAGCACTACTAATTTGTGGATTTGTGTGTTTTTTGAGTGTAACCCTGAATGAACATGTACCTGCTGTTGCCGACAGGTAAGCAATGATTGCTGTTGGAAGATTATTATGTAACTTGTTTAGTATTTTTTAATAGCATTGCTGACTACCTATATGCTACTGTATGAATTACCATTCATTTACAGATTTTTATTCTATATTTCTCTGCTGTAAAACTGTTTTATACCAGAAATAAATACATAAATACATATTTTCTGTGAATGTATAACCTGTTCAGAGCAGCTGAGTTGTGCAGAGAAATGGCCTGTGTTTTGGCAATACTGGTAGTGTTATGTTTCAGGCATGCATCTACATGTGGATGCTAAATATATGCATGCAATACAGCCAGCAACGTGTCTGAAGGCCTCGGACATGTGTTAATTAAGCAGGAAAAAAAACGGCCCATATCCTGAAATCCTGCTCAATTAATACTTCCTCAAGGGCTGTAGCCTCCACACACACACAGCCTGGTCTTCATTCTGTGCTGTGATCTCCTGAGCCCTAATGAAGCGTGAAGAGATGAACAGACGACTTTGCTCCTCTACTTGATTTCAAGCAGTTCGAATTCTAACTACAGCTGCATTCAGTTTTCAGTCATTACTTCAAGATTGTCAGGGAATGAGCCACATGCCGTGTCACTTCCTATATGATGGCTCACTTCCACTTGGGCTGCAGTAACTGCAGCAGGTCCAGAAGTAATCAAGCTGCTTTGTCAGATAAGGATGTGATGAGAAAATTACAGACAATCAGGACTAATTGAACGCTAGTCAAAAGTTCTCAATGAGCATCTTTTGCTCATGGTACAGCACCACTATTGAAGGTTTTTTAAAATTTAAATTAAATTAATTATATTTTCAGTGTCTTAAAAACTATATATAAAATTCTATGTTTCAAAAAAAAATTAAAAAAAAAAATATATATATATATACACACACACATTTATATTATATTATATTATAAATGTTATGTTATGTTATGTTATGTTATTCAAAGTAAAAATAAAAACTCAGTTTATTTAATTATTTTTGCATGCTTCTGCCTGTTGGCTTCACCACACATTTTCAAGAATTTATTTTTTTTCTTTTAAATTTTTTTCTTTTTCTTTTCTTTTTCTTTTTTTTTTAATTTTGACTTCAGACCACCCAAAAAATGTCAAAATGAATTTTAATATAGAAATTTTAAAATGCTCATCATTGAAGATGTGTATTGAAGTCAGTGTATTAATGAACTGCATTTTCATTATTTGTTAATAAAAATTATTATTTTGATGTTGACAGCACATAACCTAAAATCACTGGGTTAGTGCTACTAGCAAAGTATTACGTTATAACATTCATCCAGTTATACAATAATTGTGTTATGTAGCATGTTAGTTTCTTTCATCAGTATTTATATGATTTTTATACTGTTGCACAACAGTTCATTTACACTGAGTAGATTTTAAAGAGATGTTTTATCTGTTCTCTATCAACAGATTTAGACTTGTCATAACTTCAGAACAGGATTTATGAAATATTTGTGGTTAGTAATTGGCGAAAGTTGTTTAAATTGCAAGATGCTCTAATAACAAGACGTTCTGTTCATTTGGAGGTTCAGCTCATTGTGCTCATGATGAATGGCAAAGATTCATCTTCCTTGTATAGGCTCGCCCACGACTCAGAGCGCTTGTTTATACGAGAGGCTCAAATTTACTTCCCTTCAATGGAAAAAAAATAAAAGGCTCTTCCCACAGTTAGGTCGTGCAGTTGCCAGATCTGTCTGGAATCCGTACAAGATAAACTCATCGCAGAAATCTACAGGTCTCCGAAAAGTTTGATTCTTATCGTTGATGCCCTGAAGCGAATGAGTTTTAATGTCTTCCGGGGTCACATAGGCGCAAACCACCCACATACAGTTACTAGTATGTTGGCTGGATTATGTTAAATGCCGTTTTCTATTTCAAAAGCATTATTTTTTTCTTATACATGGTCATCTGTCCGATTTGAGGTCGAACAGTCCGGTTTTGAAATTGCATTTATTGAATAAATATATTAGTTAACATGAAAGATGATGCATACATTTAATAAGGTTAGAACAATTGCCCTTGGAAAGGTTAAAGAGTCCCCGGAATTCAATTTAAGGGGGAAACTATTGTCCCTTAATGGAAATATTTATTTATTTATTTATTTATTTATTCATTCATTCAATTTTTTTCCCTGATTTTGGATTATTTTTCTTTTCTTTTTTTTTTGTCCTGGCTTAAAAAATCCTGCAAAGTGTGTTACAGAAACCCTAGTCTACAGATAAAGATAAAGATAGATATTAACTGACAACTGCATGATCGTCCCTGCTTCTTGGAATCGAGCCATGGCTGCAGAAATCCCCCTTTGACTGCCAAGTTAGGTTACGTGGGAGAACCATTTTCAAAAAGACCTAGCAGGATTTTATAGATCTTTCTCTCCAGATAAGCGGGATCTTCCAATCAGACTTTGCACCCATAACACAGACTGCACCAGAGGTCTGATATTAAAGACATTCAGAATGGCTGTAGGTATTTCTGAGATAAACTGTAGCATTGGTTTGCTAAATGGACCTTGGAAGTTTACCGTCACACTCAACGCATCGTTTCATTGATCATTTCTGCTTAGTCTCTCAACTTTCTTTCTTTTGAAACTGTTCTTTATGTTTGTGCAGTGAACCTGCTATGATATGAGAGATCTATTGTAGTTCAGGAACAAAGGACACTCTGGAAAGTCCGTAAGATTAGTTTGTTTATGTTCCAGTCACAGATGGTCATGGGTCATTTCTTAACATGATGGACAGGTATTTCCTACTTTGATGTAGGGCACAAAGGATGTCCACCTGCTTGGCTAATTGTGTTTTGTAGATTGTAGGGGTGGAAAAATCTATCTATTTGCATATATATACAGTGCACAGTATAAATAATTTTTTTTTTTTTAAATATGGAAATTGTATTAATTGTGTCCCGACTCCCTACTTCTAAAACTGGCAATTTATTAAAGTGTTTAATCTTTTTTGTGATTTAGACATTTCTCTATTCAAGATTCTAAATCAAAGCATGTTTTCTTGGGAATATTGCTTTAATTTATTATCAGTTAATAGCTTTTTTCCTGTGAGCCAGACTTCCTCTGCGTCCATTACTACTATTAATTATGTTTAATAAGCAAGTTTCCTAATTCTCAAGATGACTCCATTTTTGGTGGGAAGATACTTGCACAAACTTCTGTAGCTATTAGCAATGAATTTGATGAATTATGTGATGTGTTG